CGTGCGCCCTCGCAGCGCGCGTCTGCCTCCGCCGCCGGCGCAGCGCGGTGTGACACCAGGCGAGGCGGCCCCGCCAGGCGAGAGGGAGGCGCCGCCGCGGCCCCTGGCCAAGCAGGCGAAGGGGCGGGCGAGCAACCTGCCCAGGGGAGGGGCGGTGGCGCCTCGGGCCGCCCCTGCCGAGGGCCAGAGCCGCGCCGGGCGCTGGACGCTCCCGCGCCGCCGCCGGCAGCGCCTGGCCCGACCCGGCGCTGGGAGGCGGAGGAACCTCGCGGGGAAGGCGGGCGCGGGCCGGGAGGCTGCGGCGCCCCCGGCCGTGCTGGCCTGCGGGGAAGCCCGCCGAACTCCGCGGGGCTGGGCTGCCCCCTTTCCGCGGTGGCGCAGGAGTCAGCGCCGCCGACCCTGCCGTGACTTACTTCTGGGTAAGCACGTGCGCGGCGGCGCTGTGAAAAACGAAGGCGGCGGGCGCGGCGCGCTCCTTCGAAGAATTTGGGACCCGGGCCGGTGGGAAGCAAGCCCGGCTAAATGTGCAGATGTGCATTTAGATCTGTGTGTCCCCGTTGAGAAAGGATGACACGGGTTGCTTGAAGGTAGACCAGGAAGTCAAGCCTGCATTTGAAGTTCACAACGGAATGGTCTCAAAACCAGCTCTTTCAAATCATTTCCTCCTCGCCTGGATCATCTCGAAGTCATGGGGAAAGGTTTTGTTGCTCGTTTTTCCTACGCTGAATTGATATGCAGGGTGAGGATTCGCGGGGGGCGGCGCACAGTGAAGGGGGTGCGAAAAATCTCACCCTCCACTAAAGCCCCCCCCCTCGAAAATCACTGTAGGGCTTTGGGATCGTAGCCCTAGCTTCATCTCCCACGGATTTAGATCTGTTCTTCAGAGACCAGTGTACCAAACTTGCCCCCCTCATCTTAAGTGATATGCAGAAGGACAATTTTACGGCGGGGGGGAGATTTTGCCTGCCTTCTCAGATATTGCAGTGTCCCCCGCACCCCATGGCAGTTAAGCTTAGAAAAAATATTTCTTTTGCTGCCACCCAAGTTTTCCCCCCTAACTATAGCTGGATGCGGGGGGGAGGGGTCCAGTGTGACTGGGAAGGGCCACCTGCCCTTCCCTGTGTGCTGTTGCCCCTCCAGACTGCCCTCCCCATGGCAATTAAGCTTAGGGTTAAAAAAAACAAACCTACCGATGGAAAGATTGGGTTCCAGGCCTTTAAGTGCCTAGCAACGCCCGTGCGTGTAGCCCTAAACATGTTTACTCACAGGTCAGTGTGCCGCTGAACAGATGAACAGCCAGGTCTTCATGTCCTTGAGAGGGTTTCAACAAGTAACAGCAGCCTAAAAATAATTTTAAAGAAATACAAATAAATATGTGGGGTGAGGGCGAACTTTAAGAGCGTAAAGCGGGCCAGCCCGAGCCACCCTGTCACCTAAGACAAGGCCAAGAGGGTGCCTTGTTCCCCTTCCATTCCATGCACAGAAAAACATGGAGCAGACCTGGTCCCACCTGCCCACCCACCACCCGGGGCAGTGCTAAGAACTGGGCCTGTCCACCCTCTGGGCCTGCGGACTCAGGCGCCAAGGCCTGACACCACCCCAAAATGACTGCCGTGGCTGACGTGGCCAGTTGCAAAGGACAAGTCACCTGCCCAAAAGTTGGGGCTCAAGGTAGTGTGTGTGGGAGGGGGCAATCTGAGCCCCCAAACCCTGAGCAACCCCTTGAATCTGGAATATCCCACCCCAGTAGTATTTTTTATTTTGCAGAATGCCAACACCTTTTACTTCTGATACCAACTGCCAGCCAGTTCCTTCCCTCCATCTTTTTTCTCTCTTATGCTGCTTTTTTTAGACCCCCCCCCCACCCCACAACTGACTGGACAGAAACAGCAGCAGTCCCTCTTATTCCCCCTCACCTTTTTCCTTTTGACTGGGGGTGCTGCGGATGGTGACATCGCCTTGCAATTGCCCGTCATCTTTATACCCAAACACTGACTCTGAGCCCCATCATGTTGTCCAGGGGCATTCAAGGGAAGCCACTGCTTGCTAGCAAGACTTTCCCCCCTTAAATAAAAAATGAGGGGTGGGCATCTCATCGAGCACTAAGAAAGGGTCCTGGGATAACAATGGTGTCCACAACCCCTCTCTGTTGCCTATCCCTCGTTTAAATGCCATGCAATTTGCAGGACAAATTTGCAGGACAAATTGCATGGCATAGATATGTCTGTCTTCCCCACAGCAACCCCTCTGCTCCCTGCCTCCCATCATCCGCTGCTGAGGTCACGGCCTCCCTCTGCCCAGTGATAAGGCTGGCCCTGCACAGAAAGCAGCACAAATCAGACTGTGGGTCCCTCGGTCCAAAATATCTGGAAGGCTCCGGGTTGCCTATTCTTGGTTTACTGCTGACAGGCAGGGTTCTTCAGACTTTCAGGCAAGGGTCTTTTCTTGCCCTACCTGGATATGCCAGGGACTGGATGTAGGGACTTCTACCTGAAAGCGTGTGCCCCAGTACTGGGCTACAAGCAACTTTCTCCTAGGGAAGCATGCATAGGATTGCAGTCTTACTGTGCTGTTGCAACTTGCAACTTCCCCATTAGACACACGAACTCTGATGTAGAATCAATGTACATGGAGATGGAGAAACAAAACAAGTAAAACTAAATATCGACTCCTTCAGCAGGTATAGTCTATAATATTTGTGTTTGTGTTGTTTTGGACTCATTGTTTACGTATTTTGTCGCTCTGACTATCCAGGGATATTTGCCAATCTAGGATAATATTTTAGGCACCTGGTGGTTCATGAAAGCTGAGGACACAATAGGGGTGCAATCCGGACAGAAAAAAGGCCTGCAACTTGCAGCATTGTCCAGGGAGCCATGCTGTAGGAGTCTTTACACTTTAAATTAAGATTGCACCCTCATTCTGTTCCCATGCAAGTTGGCCCAGAAGTCTCTCCCACTGTGTTCAATAGGCGTACTCCTCACAAGGGGTGCATAGGGGATTGTATTCTAACAATGCAGTGGTACGAGCATCTAGTCAGAAGGGAGTCCCACTGAGTGCACTGAGACCTTTCTCCAAATTAACCAGGTATAACATGAGTATGAGGCGGCTAGATGGGGCCACTGAAGCAGTTGGAGTGAGCTTGAGTGGACTCCAGGGGATGGTGGAGGACAGGAAGGCCTGGAGGAGTGTTGTCCATGGGCTCGCGATGGGTGGGACGCAACTTCACAACTAACAACAACACCATTAGTATGTAAAATGCTACAGGACATCTTAGTTTTTGCTGAAATGGCTTTATATGTGCACCCCTCTGGAATTGGTTGGAATATTCTAGGTTTCTGTAACAAGGTATCATCCAAATGGTTTGGCCTACAATAATCCCCTGCAATTGACTATGCTGCTTAGCCTGCTGGGTGTTTTGTAGGCCACAAGTTTCCACCCCTACCTTACGTGTGTGTTGTCTTAAAGAACTGCTATTCTTCTGCGTTCCTTTTCAGTTGAGCAGGCACAAAAGCCTCACCTGCTGAAATTCTTCCACACAGGTGCCGGAGGAGCCTCTTCGCCTTTTGCATCTGGCCAACCTACTCTACATCTCCGAAATCTTCCCACACCTCTGCTATCCCTGCACACCAGGGAGGGACAGTTACCTAGGAAAAACCCATCTGCTGCCTAGATAAGAGAAGTGCACCCAATAGATATATTACAGCGAGCCTGATAAGATTTGGGCCAAGACAAAGAACCATTGTTTATTTCCTCTCTAAGTGACATACAAAGAGTTGTGATCTTATACCAGTTAAAATAAATTAGAACTGTTGTGTGCAGATGAATGGGAACCAATCCACACAAGTGAACTAGATGATAAACTCATATGCTAGGATATGTCTTCTTAATTCCAGGACATCTAGCTGGCTTCCATCTGTTTCTCAATCAGCATGGTGGGGAGGAGGAGGAGGAAGAAACACATCCATCTCTACACTCGTATGTGTGGCAACTCATTCAGACATGCAAGTCTACATTCCTGGAGGATAAGGCAATCAGTATGTACTCATCTTACATTCTTACCTGAAGGTGCACTCCTTAACTGACAACCATTTATGTTTGCACCCTGCTTGAAAAGCATCGTCTTGGAGGCAAATGGGATGCTTTTGTTATTATTAGTTGCAAAGTCACCTCTGACCCATCACAACCCCATGGACAACACTCCTCCAGGCCTTCCTGTCCTCCACCATCTTCCAGAGTCCACTCAAGCTCACTTGACTGCTTCAGTGACTCCATCCAGCCACCTCATCCTCTGCCATCCCTTCTTCTTTTGCCATCTATTGTTCCCAGCATAAGGCTCTTCTCTAGGGAGTCCTTCCTCCTCATTAGGTGCCCAAAGTATTTGAGTTTCATCTTCAGGATCTGGCCTTCTAAAGAGCAGTCAGGGTTGATCTCCTCTAGGACTGACCAGTTTGATCGCCTTGCGGTCCAAGGGACTCGCAGGAGTCTCCTCCAGCACCACAAGATGCTACTGTTCCCTTTATCTCCAATGTTCAAGTACGAGTGCCGATTTTTTATGTAGAAAAAGTGGCACCATTCACACATGAGGAGGAGGCATCAGCAGGCTTGTGGAAGGTGGCCAACTCAAATCCAACCTGAGCAGGGTTTGGCAAACGGGCCATCTGGCAGCAGAGAAATGCTGTAGGTCTTGCCTAGAAATGCGATAGGTCACACATGTAACCACTGATCGAATTACTACTGCACATGGGTAAACACAGATTTACTTATGGACAGATGCATGTGCTAGTTCTGAAGTTACCTGATCAAGTATGATGCAATCACCAGCAGAGGCAGAAAAGCAAGAT